GATTTTGTCTCTATTTTCCATGATTTTGTGTATTTTTTCCTTATTTTTGTCTGTGTTTTCCTTCATCTCCTTCTAATCTCTTGGAAAGCCCTGAATATGAGACTTTTGAAATCCCTATCAGGTAGTTCCAGTGACTTTTCTTCTATTGAAGGTCATCTTTTTTTAAAATTTTGTTCACTTGCTGGAACCACCCTGTCTTTTTTAAAAAAATATATTTTGATATTGTCTGCTGTCTCCAGGACATTCAGGAATTATTTTCTTCATTTATTGATTGTAAGTTTGTTTGTTTCATCATGCTTTTTTGTTTTATTTGGTTATGTCTGGGAAGGTCGGCTGGGAGTATTTTGTTGATTGCTTGTCTGTGGGCCTGATACCTCTTACCACCTTGTCTATGTGGACAGGGCTGGTTGCTCAACTATGGTGCAGTGGGGCACCTCCAGCGGGGGTATGGGTGGGGATTGGTCATTTTCAGCACAAACTGGGGCTGGCAAGGCAGTGCCAGGAGGCAGTATGGGCTGGAGTCAGAGGGTCTGGGGGTCTGTGCCATTGAAGCTCAGGTGTGTGGTGCTCAGCATGTAGCACAGATAGGCAGGGGGGAAGGGAGAGAATGTGATGTGTGGAGTTAAGTGGGAGAGAGAAAGAAGATAAAGAAGAGAGAGAAACAGAAGAAAAAAAGAAAAAAGTAAATAAAATGGCAGTGTGGTGGGTGTCGGTGGGTGGAGGCAGGACAGTCCTGGGGAGGCCGTGTGCCAGTGGCTCTCTAGCTGTGCAGTGTGGCTCAGCCTGTCAAGAAGGGGTAAGGACAGCATACAGGGTTAGATGGGTGGGAGAAAAGAACATAAAGAAGGAAAGAGAGTAATGGAAGAAACAAAAAACAAGAAAAATAAATATAGTGCTGAGGGAACCAGCCATTGGGGGTTGGGTGGATCTGGTGTGGCAGTAAGCTGGTGTCTCTCTCACTGGGTGGTGTGGCACAGCCCCTCAGGAAGGGGCAGAAGCAGCACAGGGCCTAGGTGGGAGAGAAAGAAGGAAAAGGGAGAAAGGTAAAGATAAATAAAAGTAAAAAATATGGCACTGAATGAGTCAGTGGGTGGGGGAGAAGCAGACCCAGATAGGCCATGTGCTGGTGGCTCTGTAGCTGAGCTGTGTGGCATGGTCTGCTGAGAAGGGGGCAAGGGCAGCCCACAGGGCTAGGTGGGCAGGAGAAAGGAAAGGAAGGAAATGAGAGAGAGTGAAGAAACAAACAAACAAACAAAAAAAACAAAAAAAATATGGTGCTGGGGGAACTGGCCATTGGTGGTGGGGTGGACCTGGGGCAGCAGTGAGCTGGTGTCTCTCCAGCCACGTGATAGTGGCCCATTGGAAAGCGGGGGAGGCAGCATACAAGGCAGAAGGGTAGGGGGTGGGAAAGCGTGTATCCCGGATTACAGGATGCTCTGTTTCCTTTTGGGAGCTCCATGAAGTTGTCTTCCTGTACTCCCTGTCCAGGGTCCTTGTTGATTGTGATCCAAGATGATGAATCTGGGCCGCGTTAGCTGGCAGGAGACCTCCACTCAGTAGCTTTCCTCGTACTCTGTTATCTGTCAGTTTCTTCTTCCATTCAGTGTTTGATTGAGTTCATCTAAGTTTGATGCTTAAACTTCCAGGGTTGATGTTTGTGTCTGTTTTACTTAGTTTTTCAGGTCTTTGCTGCAGAGGGATGGCATGGTGCTTCTGTTTATAGCACCATATTTGCTCCACTTTATGTATGACCTCTTTCAATCGCCTTCCTAAAAGATGTTGCCTGACATATTTTGCTTAGTTTTGTAGTTTTCTACTGCACTTTCTGTTGTTGTTGTTGTTAGCTTCTCTCAAGTCAGCCCCTGACTCATAGGGGTTCCATGCACAATGGAAAGAAACGCCTTTCCTGAGATCAGCTGTGGAATGGATTATTGTGATCCATAGGGTTTTCACTGGCTGATTTTCAGAAGTAGATCACTGGGCCTTTCTTCCTAGTCTGTCTTACTCAGGAAGCTCTACTGAAACCTATTCAGCATCACAGCAAAATGCAAACCTCCACTGAAAGACACTTGATGGCTGTGTATGAGGTGTATAGGATGGGAACTGAACCCAGGTCTCCAGCATGGAAGGAGAGAATTCTGCAACTAAACCCACCATTTCCTCTAGAGAAGTCCTGTTGTTGTTGTATGCCATCAATTCAATTTTGACCCATACCAACCCTATATGACAGGGTATAACTGTAATAGGGTTTCTTAGGCTGTAATCTTTATGGGTGCAGATTACCAGGTCTTTTATCCCATGGAGCACTTGTGGGTTCAAACTACTAACCTTTCAGTTAGCAGCAGAGTGCTTAACCATTGCACTACCAATGCTCCTTAGAGAGACTATTAGTGATTTTTAATAATATGCTCCTGTCACAACCCCTTTTCAATTCTTTTAGTGGGTTTTCATTGCCTTTGGGATAATTTCTTAATTCCTTAGCGTGATTTACAGGTTTCACATGAATTTACCATTTAAATACATCCCATCTCACTCCTTGCTGCTCCACACAATAATCATCCATATATTTTCAGGTCCTTGAAACTGTCTCACTGTCTTTCAACTCTAGACATTTACAAATATAACAAACCCTGCTCTGTTCCCTCTTTACCTAACACTTTCACACTGATTTTTGGCTTCCCAGATGGATGCTTGTTTCCACTACTTCTTCAGTAATCTGTCCCTCTAACCAGCCTCCATATAATCACCAAAATCTACACTAGTTTTTCTCTCCTAAGGTCCCCTTAATCTCTACACCGCCTCAGTGTAACATCCTTTTAAGTGAAAATTGCCTGTCTTAATTCCTCTCTCAAACTATAAACTCTAGTAGCCAAGTGTAAGGCACGGAGAAGTCACTAAATTGATACCCTCATTCCACTGCCTTCCCTAATTTCACTTCCTGCCCCCTTACCTTACTTTGGGAAAGAAAGTGCAATGGCATCTCCATGCTTCACCACAAATTCATCTCTGATAGATCTCAGATCTTCAATTCTGTGTGACTTGTTGCTGAAAGGAACGTCTTCAAACCACAAATAATCAGAAACTATCCCAAAAGTCACCTGTCAAACCTTGCCAGGTTGTTCTAGTCTTCTCAACCTTAGAAGCAGTGGCTCTGCTTGCTGGTACTGCAAGAGGAACTCTTGTAATAGAGCAAAATCAGGTGCAAAGGACAGAGAGATTGGTACAGAGCAACTCCCAGTTTACTTACGATGCAGAGATCACAGCTGTAAATACAGGAGGGTGTATTTGGCTTGAATAATCATTAGCTAATAGAGAACTTTCTGGGGCACATGGGTGTACTTACGGGAGAGAAGGAACGCAGAAAATCAATTAACAAGCAGAAGAACAGAGAAATGTCAACCTTTCAAATCAAAGGGAATTTAGAAATTGATGCTCTTACTTTCTGTCCTGTAGTTTTCCCCATTTTTGGCAACTTTTCCAAGTTGACACAGACAGTAACTGACCCAATTGTGAATCAGTCGCTTCACAGAGTATGTCTAAAGCCCATGAAAAACTGTGTCTCTACTAATAGGAATACATTAGAGTCATATAATATTTGATCTGAAAAAAGGATCAGTTGTGTTGACACATCACTCCAGCAGTATTTCCAATGTCCATGAGTTGATGAAATTCATAAAATTTCAACATACCTCTAAAGTGAAATCGGTATTTCTGGGTGGTGCAGTGCTTAAAGCGATTGACTGCTAACCTGAAAGTTTGGTGATTTGGAACGACTAGCAGCTCCTCAGGAGAAAGATGTGGCAGTCTGCTTCCACAGAGTTTTATAACCTTGGAAACTGGGGTCACTATGAGTCAGAATTGACTCAGTGGCAGTGGATTTGTTTTTATTTTTATTTTTTTGTTGGGTGGTGCAAATAATTACTGATGACAGCAACAAAATTAAATGTACCGGTGTTAATTTACTTGCATAATATTTCTCTTTGCAGGAATTTTCAAGTTATTGGATGGTGAGGATTATGTGGGTCAAAAAAGTTCACTTAAACCTGAATGACACTGACAGGTTGCAGATGCAATATTTTTATGTAATTGTGTCCTGTGTCAGAAGGAGCTAAACCTTTTGCAGGCTAATAGCTAAGTCCAGAAATTTAAATATGATATTTTTTCCATAATTTCTCTAAGATTTAAATTAGAGATTATTTTGTGTTTGTGTGAATATTAACATTCAAATATAATGTTGATGAAAATCAGGGAAATATCATTTTTATTTGTTATTATGTGTTCATTTATTGAGGGTGTTATGATTAAGATAGTCTCACTGTTGTTGACAGTTCCCTCAAGTCTATTCCAACTCATGGTGACCCCATGTGTGTAGAGTATAACTATGCTCCTTAGGGTTTTCAAGGCTGTGACTTTTTAGAAGCTGGCTTCCAGGCCTGCCTTAAGAAGTGGTCCGGATGGGTTTGAACCACCTACCTTTCAGTTAGTAGTCAATTACTACTTAACCATTTGCTCTACCAAGGGACTCCAGTGAGAGTGTAGGTGCACTGATTTGATGATCTCGGCCAAGAACCAAGCACATCCACTACAGAAACATACTCTCTAAATTCAGAATAGTCATTAGTTATGGGAAATATACACAGAAATTTGATTGGGGATGGTTACAGAAGAAGTGGTACCCATGCAGGAAATGTCTCATTTCATGCATTAATCAAACTGTCACAAATATTGCAAAGCATTAGATTTTATTTATTAGCCTGGGATAAATTTACAATGGTTTTAAAATGTTATTTTCTGTGTGAATTAAATATTATGTAATTTTTTCAAGCTGATATAGCATAAATTTAATAAAGTATGTGCTAGTTTTCAATTATCAAGTGTAATTGTGCTGTTGGGTTAAAGTCCCCAGGATACAATGACAAATTTTTCTGCTACATCTTAGGGTGCATGTGCATAAGGGCATAAAGGGAATCAGTATTCATCTCAGACTCAGAAATATTAGGTTATGATTCCCACGGGAAAAGCCCTTGAGGAAGCCCCGCCATCTTCTTCTCGTATATTTTATCAAAGATTTCACTCTGGGCCACCGTGAAGTGATGCTTCCAGTCCCCAATAACTCCTATTAAAAACAAAAAATAAGTCCAGATCAGACTTATAAATAGTATCCTAAGACCTCATTTGAACTTCTCCTGTAACTGTTCTTCTGCCCTTCTTTCATGACACTGAACTGGAAATTGCAGGCAATATGTCTCACTTACTTTGGACATGGCATCAGGAAAGACCAACTGCTAGAAAAGGCCTTTATGATTGGTAAAATAGAGGGTCAGCGAAAACAAAGGAAACCCACCATGAGATGTATCAACCAATAGCTGAGACAATGGACTTAAACATAACAAAGATCATGAAGATGACACATGATGGGCCAATTTTTCATTCTGTTATACACAAGGTTGCCGTGAGTCAGAGCTGACTTGACGGCAACTAACAACAACAACAGCAACTTAACAGAATGATAATAATTTCATGTCAGGAGCCAGATAACCATAGACTGTAACTTCAGACTTCTAGTTACATAATCTATTTGAGCCTTAAGTCTGCCATCTGTTAAATAGGTCTATTTCTAGTACATGCCTCATAGTAATATAGTGATTGTTGAATAACAATGAAACACATTGTATGATTGCAACTATATGAGATATCTAGAATAGGCTAGTGTATAGAGAAAAAGTTTACTAGTGGGTAGTAGAGTTAGGAGGAAGGGAGGGTGAAAGGAAGACACAATGCTTAGGGGACACTGAGCATCTGTTAATGGTATTTGAAAAATTTGGGAATGGTTATTGTTGATGGTTGAACAATATGATGAATATAACTAATGTGAAGATTGTGGAAATGGCAAATGTTCTGTTACCTATTACTTACCACAATAAAAAAAGGAAAAACAAACAAACAAAAAAAGCAAGGTAACAAAAACAATAACAACAATAATAACTTCAACTCAAGGCTTGTTGTTGTTGTTCATCCAGCCAGTTCTGAGTCATAGCAACCCGATTTACAACAGAAGGAAACGCTGCCCAATCCTGTGCCATCTTCACAATTGTTGCTATGCTTGAGCCCATTGTTGCAGCCACTGTGTCAATCCATCTCACTGAAGGTCTTCCTATTTTTCACTGATCATCTACTTTAACAAACATAATGTCCTTCTCCAGGAACCGTTCCCTCCTGATCACATGTCCAAAATACATGAGATGAAGTCTTGCCATCCTCCCTGCTAATGAGCATTCTGGATGTCTTTCCAAGACTGGTTTGTTCATTCTTCTGGCAGCCCATGGTATATTCAGTATTCTTTGGCAACTCCATAATTCAAAGGTATCAATTCTTATGGGGTCATTCTTATTCATTGTCCATTTTTCCCATGCATACGAAGTGATGGAAAATACCATGGCTTGAATCAGACAAACCTTAGTCCTCAAAGTGACATCTTTGCTTTTTAACACTTTAAAGATCTTTTGCAGCAGATTTTCCCAATGCAATACATTATTTGATTTGACTGTTGCTTCCATTGGCATTGATTGTGGATGCAAGTAAAATGAAATCCTTGACAACGTCAATCTTTTCTCCATTTATCAAGTTATTGCTTATTGGTTCAGTTGTTAGGATTTTTGTTTTCTTCATGGTGAAGTGTAATCCATAAAGAAGGCTGTAGTGTTTGATCTTCATCAGCAAGTCCTTCAAGTCCTCTTCACTTTCCGCAACTCAGTGTCCACCCTATATATCGTAATAACTAGTTTCTAATCTTCCTCCATCATCTCATTTTCACACACCCCACATTCTGAATACAAAGTTCCATATTTACAGATAATTCAACTTCCTCAATACTTCACCTCCACTGGCACTCACAATCTGTTGATCCTGCCCCATTTTCACTCTCCCTTTTTCTTTCCTTGGAATTGACTCAGAAGCAGCGGACTTCTGTTTTTTTTGGTGTTCGTAATTTATTTACTTCATTGTAGTTGTTAATTGCCCTCAAGTTTATTCTGACTGGTGGCAGCCCGACATGTGCTGAGTAGAACCACTCCATAGCATTCTAAAGGCTGTGACCTTTTGGAGTCAAATCGCCCAGTTTGTTTTGCAAGGTGCCTCTTAGTAGGTTTGAACCACCAAATTTTGGCTAGATTTGAGCACCTGTTTGCAGCATTCATTATCCATTTTGAAATGACATAATTAATGACTGTAATCACTCCCTTTCATTTTAAATTCTCTTGCTCCTTTCACAAGATCTAAAATTCATCTGATACAATCCTAATTTCAGATTTTAAACCAATGCAAACAAGACAGGAGCTAAAAGAGACAACCTTGCTAACTTATTTCCCTTTAAAGTTATGACTGCTTAAACCAAGTCATACTGCCTGAAAATCATTCCTTATTTTTATGCTTTACATTCAATACCTTACACTTATCTTCTCTGTCAGCTGATGATTTTGATTCACATTTACTTTAGAAAATAGAAAACAGAATAATAAGACACAATGCTTAGGAAACACTGAGCTTCTGATAAGGGTGATGGAAATATTTGGCACTGGTTAATGGTGATGGTTCTGCAATTTCCTGGTAGTACAACTGCTCATGTACCTCTATCTATGCCCTTTCCAGTTACTATGGACAAAGTGTTCATGTTGCTATCTAAGCCAGCTCTTCATCTTGGATCTGCATCTTACTCTTCTCCCTTCCTCAGGATGTTGCTCCAACAATTATGTACATTATCACCAGTATCATTTTACTTCTCTGTTAAATCATTTTTGTTGTCGTTAGGTGCATTCAGTCATCTCTGACTCATAATGACCTTAAGTTTAACAGAAAGAAATGTTGCCTGGTGCTACACCATCTTCTTGATAGTTGGTATGTTTGTATCCATTGTTGTGACTATTGCATCATTCCATCTCATGGGAGGGGCTTCCTCTTGTTTCATAACCCTCTACTTTACCAAGCATGATTTCTTTCTGCAGTGATCATTCCCTCCTGATGACCTGTCCAAAGTAAATAAGAGGAAGTCTGGTCATCCTTGCTTCTATGGACCATTCTGGCCGTACTTCCTCCAAGACTGATTTCTTCATGATCCTGCATGTCCACGGTATATTCAATACTCTTTGCCAACTTCTTCTGGTAGTAAATTGGAACTTCTCCCAATTTAAACAATGTTTCTCTGGGTCTTGCATACTCTTCAAGTAACTGCTCCATTTTTCTATTCTCCTTTTCAGAAAAGATCCAAAGAAAAGTTATTTATACTTTCTGTCTGTGGTTCTTTTGCTTAGAGTTTTTCCTTAAGCACATGCTAATTAAGACTTTGTCCCTGCCACTGAAATTTCTCTTGTCAATGTAACAAAGAGTCCCCATAATGCTAAATTAAATGGTCAATTTTTGGTTCTTGTGTAGTTCAAACCTTTAGCATGTTGTGGTACAAATGGTTACTCCCTAACAATTCTTGAAATTCCCTCTTCATTTTGCTCTTAGGGCACCATTATTTTTCACTTGGGTATTCCAACAACTTTCTAAATAATTCTATTTCTTTTGAATTGTGATACTCACAATGTGCTCTCAATGCCACAGATTAATTCTTTGGAAACTTAAGCCTAGGTACATCCTGGCTTGCTCCAAATTTCCCAATGCCTTCTATGCTATGAGGTATAGAAGCCAAGATCCCTATAAGGGCTTACCAAATGCAGCCCAACCCAAAGCTATCTAGTCGATCCTGAATCATGGTGACTGCATGTATATTACACAGTACAACTGTTCTGTAGCATTTTCTTGGCTGTAGTCTTCAGGGAAGCATATCGCCAGGCCTTTATTCCATGAACTGTTAGTTCGGCTCTAACAGCCAAACTATGTTAATAGTTAAGTGCAAACTGTACGCCACTCATGGTTCTTTACAAGGGATGTTGTTAGGTGCCTGTCTTAGTTATCTAAAAACAAAACAAACCAAATATGTTGCCATCAAGTAGATTCCAACTCATAGCCACCCTATAGGACAGAGTAGAACTGCCCCATAGGGTTTCCAAGCAGAAGCTGGTGGATTTGAACTGCTGACCTTTTGCTTAGCAGCCATAGCTCTTAACCACTGTGCCACCACGGCTCCCTTAGTTATGTAGTGCTGCTATAACAGAAATACCACAAATGGATGGCTTTAACAAAGAGAAATTTATTCTCTCAGAGTCTAAGAGCTAGAAGTCCAAATTCAGGGTGCTATCTCCAGAGGAAAGCTTTCTCTCTCTGTTGACTCTGGTGAAAGGTCCTTGTTATCAATGTTTCACTGGTCTGGAAGCATTACAGCACAAGAATCCCAGGACCAAAAGATGCACTGCTCCTGGCACTTTTTTCTTGGTGGTAATGAGGTCCCTTTGTCTCTCTGTTCACTTCTCTCTTTTATATCTCAAAAGAAATTGATTTAAGACACAACCTAATTTTGTAGATTGAGTCCTGCCTCATTAATATAACTACTGCTGATCCCACCTCAATAACAACATAGAGGTAGGATTTACAACACTTAGGAAGTCATATCAGATGAAAAAATGGTGGACAATCACACAATACTGGGAATCATGGACTAGCCATGTTGACACACAAATATTTGCGGGACATAATTCAATCCATAACAGTGTCATTGAGTGATTTTGACTCAGAGGGACACATGTGACAGAGTAGAACTGTCCCATAAGATTTTCTAGTCTGTTTCCTTTTGGAATCATATAGCCAGGCCTTCCATCTGAGCCATCTTTGGGTGGACTCGAACCACCGGTTTTTGGCTAGCAGTTGAGCTCTTAACCATTTGCGACACCTAGGGATTTCTTGAAAATAGCTAGAAGGTAGATAACTACCCCAAGAGAGATATTATTCATCAACTGGGCTTCACTTTCATAGTCTTCTTTCTAAGTTTATAAATACCCCAACTCATTCCTTCAACTTTCAGAGTTCAGATGACACTTATGTGATTTCAAAGATCCAAACGCTTCCCTTGCCCAATATATTAGTGCATCCAAAGAAGTAAAGTTATTGGTTGTCCATTTCTTTCATGTTCTATGATCAGAAAACTCTCTCTTACCTTTTCTCATCAATTTTCCTTTGCTGTGATCCATAAATCTATCTGGTAGTAGGGAAAAATTGCTCATTTTATTATTTTTCATGACCTCAAAGGATACATTTTTGAGGACAGAGTTGAGTTCTTCAGGGCCTAGCTTCTTGCCCAAGAACTGGCTGATCTTCTCTACACTGGCTCTTATGTCCTAGAATAAGAAACAGAAGAGAGAGGACATGAAGAGAAAGTACAAAGAGGAAGAAAGAAGACAAACAAAGTCAGGGGTGAATGAAGATCAGTAGCAGAAAAAACTAAAGAAAAATAGGGAGAGGATGAATTGGTTGTACTCATCTGGAAAGTGATCAAAATTGGATAAAAAATAAAAAGAAATGGGACATTTGGAAGCAATGAAAAGGGAAAATGGAGATAACCAATGTATAAAATATACACGATAAACATTGATCACCTGTATGACTGAGTCCAGGAGACTTTAGAAATTAGGTAAATGGAACTATAATTTGCGAAGGTAATCTTCAGAAAGAGCCCAGACACTGAGAGGTCCCTGGGTAGAACAAACATGTTGCGATTGACCACTAATCAAAAGGTTGAAAGTTGAAACCCACCCAGTGACACTATGGAAGAAAGGCCTGACAATCTGCATCTTAAAGAATACAGCCAAGAAAATGATATGGAGCACAGCTTTAATCTGTAACACATTGGCTTGCCATGAGTTAGAATCTACTCGATGGTAGCATGTTCTTTTTTTAAATGTTCACAGCTCTCATGAAATGCAAATGTCATCAAGTCCTTTCTTGTTGAATTGATTACATGTTTAAAAAAAAAGAAAAGAAAATATTGAGGACATTAAACAAGTAAGGCATGTCCTACATAAGCAGGATAATGAAGATAAAATGGGCAATAACCCTATTTGATCTCGTCACTGGAATAACCTCTGATTAAAAGGGTAGTATAGAAACATTGAAGAATGGGGTAATATTAATGGATAAATGCAATGGAATACATACATGTAGCAATGGAATCCTACTCAGCCATAAAGAGAAATGAAGTCCTGATTCATACCACAACATGGATGAGCCATGCAAACATTATGCTGAGTGAAATAAATCAGTTGCAAAAGGACTAATACTGTATGGTCTCACTTACATGAAATAAGGAAATATATAGAAACTAAAGATCATTAGTGGTTATAAGGGGTGGAGTGGAGGGGAAAAGGGGGGATTAGCTTAGGGACATTGAAATTTGTTAAAAGTGGTGGAATGATCTGGAAAGGGCTCGTGACAAAGTTTTCACAGCTTGAATGCAATCAATAATGGTTATACATGTAGAAATTATTGAACTGGTGTAGGTTTTGTTGTGTATATTTTTACCCCAATAATAAAAAAAATGGAGGAGGAAAATAAGAGAATGGAGGAAAATTATATTACTATGAATTGGTATGAGAGAGAGTGAATTATTTGGTTACCTGATGTAGCTCCTCATATGATATCATCAGGAAGTTCTCTTTTCCTCTCATTTGCAGCCAGCCATGGATATGGTCAAACCATGATCCAAATACCACTGAAAGAGAAGTGAGGAGAAAAGATGGCTCTTTGGATCATCAGTGTGTGCTCAGTTGCGTATACATTTTGTGCCTGTGTTTGAAGATTAAATGAGTGGAGTCGTAGAAAGTCTTTTCCTTTTCCCCAATTTCATGACAAATAGGATTCTGCAACTACCATGTTTATGGCAAAACTCTTGGCACCATAAAAGATAAACTATTTAAGAACAGTTTCACATCTATGTGGGAGAGAAATGATATTTGGGATTTTGAAGAGAATTGAGTTACCAAATGGAACCACTAAGCTTGATATCAATCTTTTTTGCAGTCTTTTATTAAGAACCTCCTACTCCTTCATCCCTTGGATCTGGTTGTGTCTGCTCTTCACTCCTCAAGCTGTTCCTACACCTGTTACCCATCTCTGTTTATTGGTAGGACGATCTACACACTTTTCTCCAATCTTTATTTTTAGCTCTACAATGTGTTATAGAGGTCACTCTTAATAGCATGGCAGTATTTTTTAATTTTTAAATTGGATAATATTCCATTATATTGTTGCTGGAGAATTTTTTTTCTTAATTTTTTGCTATTACAAAAGAGACTTCTTTGAATAGTCTTGTACATCTATTTATCTATCGATTTATTTGAATTTCTGCTAGTGAATTTTTCTCTAGTGTAGAGATTGGAATTATGCATATGCAATTGTAAATGCACATCTGTTATATTTTGAAAAATTATCTTTAATGGCTTGTTCTAATTTTGTATTCCCACCACCAACATGTGAGCATGCCTGTCTACCCACAGTTTCACCACCAGAATGTATTTCAAAGGTTTTGAATACTAGCTGTGGCAGGTAGAATGATGACCTTCTAAAGATGTTCATGTGGTAATCCACAGAACATGTGACTATGTTGCCGTTCTTGGAATAATTAAGTTAAAGGTTTTGGAACTGGCATATAATCTTGGCTATCTGTGTGAGCCGAATGTAATCTCAGTGGTCTTTGTAGGAGAGAGCTGGGAGTGTCAAAGTCAGAGAAGAATTCATATCTATGGAAGCAGAGTTGAAAGTGATATGGCCATAGCGAAGAAATGTGGGCATCCTCTGTTATTAAGTGCCGTTGAATTTGCTCTGAATCATAGAGACCCTATAAAATAGAAGTAAACTTTCCTCAGCCCTGTGTCATCTTCATAATACTAGGTAAGTTTGAACCCATTGTTGCAGCCACCATGTCAATACCGCTCATTGAGGTTACCTCTCTACTTTACCAATCATGATGTACTTCTCCAAGGATTGGTCCTTCCTGAAAATGTGTTAAAAGTAAACTAGACCAAGTCTAGCTAGCCATCCTTGCTTTTAAGGAGAATTTCAGCTGTTTTTTCTCCAAGATAGTACATGGTATATTCAATATTCTTCACCAACACCAAAATTCAGACGTCTCAATTCTTGTGTCTTCCACTTTCATTGTCCAGATTTCTCATGTATATGAGGTGATTGAAAAACATAGCTTGGGTCAGGTGCACCTTAGTCATTAAAGTGATATCTTCACTTTTTTAACACTTTAAAGAGGTCTTTTGCAGCAGTTTTACTCAATGCAATGCATCATTTGATGTCGTGACTGTTGCTTCTATGGGCATTGATTGTTAATGCAAGTAAAATGAAATCCTTGACAACATCAATATTTTCTGTTTATTATGATGTGGCTTTATTGGTCCAGTTGTGAGAATTTCTGTTGCCTTTGTGTTGAGGTGTAATCCTTTCTGAAGGCTGTAGTTTTTGACCTTCATCAGTAAGTGCTTCAAGTCATCTTCACTTTCAGCAAGCAAGGTTGTGTTATCTGCATATCTGAAGTTGTTAATGAGTTTTCTTCTAACCCTGATGCCTTGTTCATATAGTCCAGCCTCTAGAATGTGTAAAAACAAGAAACAGATTCTTCCTCAGAGCCTCCTGAAAGGAGTGGAGCCCTGTAAACACCTTGATTTTAACCCGTAAGAACCATTTAGACTTCTGACCTCTGGAAGTGTAAGATATAAATTTGTGTTGTTTTATACCACTATGTTTGTGGAAATTTGTTACAGCAGCAATAGGAAAAGTAACACATGTTCCATTTTATGCTCAACATCAGGCATATTAATAAATTCTAAAATATTCTTTTTCTTTCTTTGTTTCATGACTGAATGAGAGGTACCTCTGAGCCTAATGGAGATAGAATAAAAATATAGGGGTATTGGAGAAGTCTGATTTCTCATTCCTTGCTGAAAGTGAAGACAACTTGAAGCACTCACAGATGAACGTCAGAGAATACAGCCTTCAGTATGGATTACACCTCAACATAAAGAAGACAAAAATCCTCACAACCAGACCAGTAAACAATATCATGATGGAGATGAAATTGAAGTTGTCATGGATTTCATTCTGCTTGGATCAAAAATCAACCTCCATAAACAGTGGTCAAGACATTAAACAATGTATTGCCTTGGGTAAATATGCCATAAAAGACCTCTTTTTTGTGTTAAAATTAAAGATGTCACTTCGATGACCAGGGCGCACCTGACTCAAGCTATGGTATTTCCAATCACCTATATGTATGGGAGAGCTGAACAATGAAAAAGGAAGACTGAAGAAGAATTGACGCATTCACGTTTTGGTGTTGATGAAGAATATTGAATATACCATGGACTTCCAGAAGATTGAACAAATCTGTCTTGGAAGAAATACTGCCAGAATACTCTTTACTAGTGAGGATGGAGAGACCTCGGTTTCCTTATTATGGATATGTCATCATGAAAGACTAATTTTAGAAAAGGAGATCATGTTTGATAAAGTTTCCCAGCAAAATCAAGCGAAACCCTCAGTGGGATGGATTGACACAAAATATGCAACAATGAGCCAAAACATATCAACAATCATGAAGATGTCACTGGCCTGGGCAACATTTTGTTCTGTTATACATAAGGTCACCATGAATTGGAACCAATCGATGGCAACTATCAACAAAAACAACAACAAAAAACCTAGTTTAGATGGCAATATGGCTGTTTAAACCACGAAATTGTAAGACCTGTAGGTGAGGGGCAGGAACTGCCATTCCATCCAGATTCCATAACTGAGTTAGACTCACCATTTCCCTGAAGAAACCATTCAAAATATTGTTCAAACGTCTCTGGATGTTTTACATAGTTAACTGTTCTCCAGTAATAAAAACCAGAAGTAAGAACATCTCTCGGATTTCTGTTTACGTAAATAACCTGAAATAGAAAAAAAA